CCAAGTCTCTCTTTATAGATTTCAAAGTGAACCTGGAGATTTGTTTTTCGCCACCTGCGTTCAGCTTTTCGACATTCTCTTTTTTCTCTTTTGAAATCATCTTGGTTTTTGTGGGCGTTGCCATCTTACATTTTTAACATTTTTCTCATAGACTTCTAGACCATCTGACTTCTGCTGGATATGAAAGAGAAAGCAGCTTTAAAGGTCCCATGTCATTTCTACTGATCATAGTTCCATCATTGAGGTCTACTAGAATAGATTCACATTGTTCAATGTTCCAAACTCACATTGGTTTCTCACAGCGTCTCTGTATAGTCTGTGTATTCACTCTCTGTCCCACACGGCTTGTTGGAGCTCCGCCCCCCCCCCCCCCCCCCCCCCCCCTGTGAGCCCAGTGTGCTCTGATTGGTCGGGACGTTGCAAGGCTCGCTGCTCAGTGAGCTGGCTTACTGGTGTGGTTTCCGGGTCGGCAATACAGCGGGAAACTCATCCTGAGCACACACACACTCACAGCCGAAGTAAAAACAATAAGTGTGGCTTGATATTGAGAAAGAAAAAGGTTTATAACGATGTGGGTCTGCGGAGAGCATTTCTCCACCTTCCCAACTCGTCTACTACCAGCCAGGGAGCTCTATGCAAGTCAATGGGACTCCCTGATAGTTGAAAATGTACGCTAAAGGTCCCCCCACTGCGTTTGATAGTGACGCCAAGGGATCCTGGTGTGCGTCATGCGGTTCCCGGAACAAACCAATGGAAACAGAGAAATGTCCAACGAGGCGTTCTGGGGCAGCACAGACAGGTCTTCTCTGTGTTAGAGTTTTACTCGCTACAGGGTTTGAGACTCTACAGACCGTTTACATGCAGAAGCTACAGAACACAAGGGGACGGGTGATAACCGGAAAAGCATGACATGGGAGCTTTAAAGCTTTTTATTCAGACCCAGATTTAGCCATTTCCACTAAATAACACGTCAACTGAAGAATAGAAGTGAAATAGTTTTGCGGTTCAGTTTTTGTTTTAGGAAAGCAGAAATGAAGTCTGAAGGACTTCCTCCCCAGACAGCTGCTGGTTTTACTGCAGCTGTCTCTCTTCTCTTATAGTACAGACAGCTGTGGTGCATATACAGTACGCAGAGAACACATGCCGCTACTGGAGCTGTGCTGTAAACACAATACTCTCCTGTGAGCATGAACAGCTGTAAGTCTTTGGCAGCAAGAGGAAGAAATACATGTTTTATTTACAGTAACGTTTTTTCTTTTTGCCGCTGCTTTTTTAAATGCCATTGTCTGAATGTCTTTCATTTTTGTAAAGCACTTTGAATTGCCTTATGTTGAAAGGTGCTGTATAAATCAGACATTACATTACAAGTACATTACAGAACCTTTTCTGATGTACTTTACTTCTATTATTCTACTATGAGTATTTCCACGTTATGCTAGATTAACCCTGTAAAGCCCAAATAGAGAAACACATTAGAATGAATTGTTTTGACCTTTCAGATGTTGTTGAGCCTCAGGAGAAGAAATGAAAGAGTTTTCACATTTTTGACGTTGTGGTAAGTTTTTAGGGAAATGTAATATTGCAACGTTGGGCTTAGGCAAGGCAAGTTTATTTATATAGCACCTTTCAACACAAGGCAATTCAAAGTGCTTTACAAAAAATGAAAGACATTAAGAAAAAGGCATTTAAAATCAGTCATTAAAAAGAAAAGCTAATAAAATAAACATTAAAAGAAAAAGTACATGGATAAAAGTTACAGTGCAGTCTAAGATATGAATAGTTCAATTAAAAGCAGCGACAAAAAGAAAAGTCTTCTTGCTGGATTTAAAAGTAGTCAGAGTTGCAGCGGACCTGCAGGTTTCTGGGAGTTTGTTCCAGATATTTGGAGCATAATAACTGAACGCTGCTTCTCCATGTTTAGTTCTGACTCTGGGGACAGAAAGCTGACCAGTCCCTGAAGACCTGAGAGATCTGGATGCTTCATCATTTAGCAGGAGGTCAGAAATGTATTTTGGGCCTAAACCATTCAGTGCTTTATAAACCAGCAGCAGTATTTAGAAATCTATTATTTGACACACAGGAAGCCAGTGTAAAGACTTCAGAACAGGAGTGATCCACTTTCTTAGTGTTAGTGAGGACTCGAGCAGCGGCGTTCTGAATCAGCTGCAGCTTCCTAATAGATGTTTTAGTGAGACCTGTGAAGACACCATTGCAGTAGTCGAGTCTACTGAAGATAAAAGCATGGACAAGTTTTTCCAAATCCTGCTGTGACATTATTCTTTTAATCCTAGATATATTCTTTAGGTGATAGTAGGCTGATTTAGTAACTGTTTTAATGTGACTGTTGAAACTCAGGTCAGAGTCCATGACTACACCTAGACTTCTGGCTCTATCTGTTGTTTTGAACATTGCAGACCGAAGCTCAGCGCTAACTTTTATACGTTCTGCCTTGGCTCCAAAATCCATTACCTCAGTTTTATCTTTGTTTAATTGGAGAAAGTTCTGACACATCCAGTCATTGATTTGTTCAATGCACTTACTCAGTGTTTGAATTGGAGCATAGTCTCCTGGTGAAATGGTTATGTAAATGTGTGTGTCATCTGCATAGCTATGGTAACTTATTTTGTTGTTCTTCATTATCTGAGCCAGTGGTAGCATGTAGATGTTAAAGAGAAGAGGCCCCAAGATGGAGCCTTGAGGAACCCCACATGTCATATTTGTCAACTCAGATGTGTATTTACGTATAGAAACAAAGTTGTTTCTGTCCTTTAAGTAGGATTCAAACCAATTCAGAACTGTTTCCGAAAGTCCCACCCAGTGTTCCAGTCGGTCTAGTAATATGCTGTGGTCAACAGTGTCAAACGCAGCACTGAGATCTAATAATACTAACACTGAAGTTCTGCCACTGTCTGTGTTTAAGTGGATGTCATTAAAGACCTTTACAAGAGCAGTCTCAGTGCTGTGGTTTGGACGAAAGCCTGACTGGAACACATCGAAACAGTTATTTAAATGCAAGAAATTACTCAACTGTTGAAAAACAACTTTTTCAATGATTTTACCTTGAAATGGCAGGTTTGATATGGGCCTGTAATTGTTCATTACTGAAGCATCTAGATTATTCTTTTTAGAACTCCTGTATTTCTACTCACATCGTCTGAATACATATATTGAACAACTAACGGTTGATTTGCAGGATTGATTGCTTACTTAGCCCTATATCAGTATAGCATGAATAATAATCACACAGCAGTCATGTTTGTTATGAATAGTCATTTAATGGTAGTCCCAAAAACAGTTCATATCGTCAGAAAAGCAGAGACGGACATCACACTTGATGCATCGTGTGTTTGTGTAGCCTTTACTGCGGTGTCTGCAGCGTCCTCTCTTCACTGGAACATGTGCCATTAGGTCCTTCCGTACGTCCAGTGGAGGCTGTGACCTCTGGGGCCCCGCTCGGTGGACTCCCATCACCTGAGGAGGGTCTCTTCTGAGCATTCAACGGGCTCCTTGATGTCACCGTCGCTGCTGGGCTCTCGTTGCCTCAAGATGGTCGTCCTCTCTTGGGTGTTTTCAGAGGAGTTGTGTTCACCTGATCAGAACAGAATCAATCGAGATACATGTCAACAATACATTAGGATACAAGTCAAACATATTACAGTGAAATATAAAAAAATATTACAAACGGCAAATAGCAGAAATGCATTCTTACCAGGATGAGAGAGGATGCTAGGTCTGCCTGAAGCTGTCTCCTGGTCCACATCTCCTGCTCCATCTGTAGGGCTCTGTAGAGGAGCCAGGCGTTGATCACAGCGAGGAGGATGGTGTGCCAGAAGATGTACACGTACCAGCGTCGGGAACTTTGTATTTGGCCGTAAACGAGTCCAACAAATCCACACCTCCCATGTACATTCTCTTTGGTCTCCCTCTCAAATCCATCCACAGACTTCAACTGGTTCAGAACTCTGCCGCCCGCATCATCACCAGAACCCCCTCCATTAACCACATCACTCCTGTTCTTCAGCAGCTGGCTCCCCGTCAAATCCCGTATCGTTTTTAAGATTCTGCTCCTCGCCTTTAAGGCCATCCATAACCTCACTCCTCTGTACCTCTCCGACCTCCTGCACATCAACACACCCATCCGCACACTCAGATATTCTGCTTCCCTCAGCTTCACTGCACCCCCCTTCCGTTTAACCACCATGGGGTCTAGAGCAGTGATTCTCAACTGGGGTTGGGTTTTCAGCATGTGTGCCTTTTTATACAGTTCAGCTTTGATTCCATCATCTCATTAAACCTTTTTAAAAGCATACTTTAGTTCTGTGAAGGGATATCAGGGATATATGCACTGTACTTCACTTTTGTTAATATCGTATGCTGGAAAGCGTATATATATATATATATATATATATATATATATATATATATTACAGCACGATTTTTTGTTGAATAGATTTGAGTGCTTCAAAATGTTGGGTCGCGATTTATTGACCAAGTAAAAAGTGGGTCCCGAGGCCAGTTGAGAACCACTGGACTAAAGCCTTCAGCCGCTCTGCACCCCCCTCCCGTCTAACCACCATGGGGTCTAGAGCCTTCAGCCGCTCTGCACCCCCCTCCCGTCTAACCACCATGGGGTCTAGAGCCTTCAGCCGCTCTGCACCCCCCTTCCGTCTAACCACCATGGGGTCTAGAGCCTTCAGCAGCTCTGCACCCCCCTCCCGTCTAACCACCATGGGGTCTAGAGCCTTCAGCCGCTCTGCACCCCCCTCCCGTCTAACCACCATGGGGTCTAGAGCCTTCAGCCGCTCTGCACCCCGCCTCTGGAACTCCCTCCCACCTGACGTCCGCAACACTGACTCTCTCCCCATTTTCAAATCACGCGTCAAAACATATCTCTTCTCACTCGCATATCCACCCTGATCATTATCCATCACACATCCTCTGTTTTTATTGATTTGGTTATTTGATTGATTGATAAACTGCATTGTCTTGTTTATGTCTCTTATGCTGGTGTTATGTATTGTGTATCTTGTTTTTTATGTGTTAGTACGGCGACCTTGAGAGCCTTGAAAGGCGCCTATATAAAATAAATGAATTATTATTATTACTTGTTGTAAGTACCCACAATATAAGGCCTCTCAACTTCTACGTAGGTTTTGTAGGCTTTGTCCCAGCGTTGAATGTTCTGCACAGGCAGTGGTCCAGCAAAGGATGACACAAGTGTGAGCGCTCTGCTGTCATACCATTTGACAGCACAGATGTTGTGGTTGGTCTCCACTCGGATGTCAAAGCTTCCTCTCCCTTTTTCCTTCAAGCTCTTCTCCTCTTCAAGGTTGCAGTTGGGTAAGCGCACCTGCCTGGCTGTTCCCACATAATGAATCCTGTGATCAAGGAGCTTCACTACCAATGGGACACAGGTGTTGTTGGGGCTCGATGTCCACATAATAACTGACTGGGGGTCATTGGGTTGTTGGGTTTCCTTGTCCATGTGGCCACAGGCATCTTCATCTGCCTCTTCTTCACTCATATCAGTGTCACTGTCCTCTGATTCCATCTCAAAATCACTTTCTCCGTTTTGGATGGCATCACATCCTGCACACTGAGCAGGAACTCTCTTTGCTGGTGGCATTCTGAAATGGAAAAAGTTATTAATAAATATGTATCAATAATACATATGCTTATTATATTGTAATAGATTACCTGAAGGAATATATAGGGTGGTGGGACAAGTGTTCATTCTGTCTGGCTTAGCCTATTGTCATACTAAAAGGAATGCATGCAGCACCCCCTTCCAGGTGTCCCGCTGCAACAAGCATCTGAACCCTATTTACATTGTACACTTGAGTCACACGATACTACCTGGCTTAGTCTATTATCATAATCAAAGCAATACCTACACCCATACATGCAGGTGAACCAGTTCAACAAGTCACACAATGCTGTCTGGCTAATGCTAACAGGCTATTTATCATACTAAAAGGGATCCAAGTGTCCCAACACATTTCAGAAAGAACGGTTTCTGCCGGAACCAGAGTTAAATGTATTGTTGTAACTAATTAACTGATAAGATACAAGAAGAGTTTAAAATATTATTTCTGATAAAAGTATGTGAAACGATATCTGTAGTAAATTACTACAGATATACAGTGTGCATCTAGACCAGGTGACGACAATACCTATTGACGCAGCAACCACTGTAAGTTATATTCTTGTTTAATTAGACTTCTCTGTTTCATTTATTCTACTCTGTATAATTGTTCTGTAGTTATTGTAGCTGAAACGGCGCTTTTGAGAGATTTTAAATCTCAGATCTGCTCAAGGGAACCTGTTACACAGGTCTCAGTAGGGGCACTCAAGCCTGCATTACAATATAGGCAGGGCCAGTCTGCTGATTGCGTGAAGTACAACAGCGTCAATTAGTCATCTTCCAGCTAAAAAGCATTTAAATACCGCATTTAAAATCTGATGAACTCAGTGTGCATCTAGACCGGGTGACGTCAATACCTATTGACGCAGCAACCACTGTAAGTTATATTCTTGTTTAATTAGACTTCTCTGTTTCATTAATTCTACTCTGTATAATTGTTCTGTAGTTATTGTAGCTGAAACGGCGCTTTTGAGAGATTTTAAATCTCAGATCTGCTCAAGGGAACCTGTTACACAGGTCGCAGTGGACACTCAAGCCTGCATTACAATATAGGCAGGGCCAGTCTGCTGATTGCGTGAAGTACAACAGCGTAAATTAGTCATCTTCCAGCTAAAAAGCATTTAAATACCGCATTTAAAATCTGAGGAACTCAGTGTGCATCTAGACCGGGTGACGTCAATACCTATTGTAATAATAATAATAATAATACGCTCTGCATCAGCCAAACGACTCGCTGCACCCTCGCTGCGAGGGGGACCCAAGTTCCCATCAGCAAAAACACGTGGGTTTGCTGTCCTGGCTCCAACATGGTGGAATGAGCTCCCCATTGACATCAGGACAGCAGAAAGCTCACACACCTTCCAGCGCAGACTGAAAACTCGTCTCTTTCGACTCCACTTCGAGCGATAGAACTATTAACAAAGCACTTATATACTAATAAAGGACTGGCTTACCTAAAGCCAGTTGAGTAGCACTTGAAATGTTTAGCTCTATGAAACCTGATGTACTTTATGATTCTGTTTTCTTCAAGGTTGTGTCTTCCTGGTCGAATGTACTTATTGTAAGTCGCTTTGGATAAAAGTGTCAGCTAAATGCAATGTAATGTAATGTAATATAGTTTCACATACTTTTATCAGAAATAATGTATTCATGTATTCAATTCTGGTCTTAACAGAGGACACATTTAGAACTTAGTTATAGTGAATTATCAAAGACATTATATTTCTATTAGTGTTTAATTTCCATGTGAACATATAGGAAGGGCAATCTCCATGACAGGTGCACGTGCTATTTTGACTACCACAGACCCTGTGTTGTAATATTACAACAAAGACATAAGCTGCTCAAAATCACGACCTATAAACACATAATACCCAATAGCATTGTGAGGCTGAACAAAAGGACCTTTTGACATGTCAATGTAGTCTTGAAAAAAACAAAACATTTAATGACTTTTTAGGATAGCTTAAAGTAATGTTGTAAAATTACAACAGTGTTACAGGGTTAAACTTCTACTGAACCACATTTAAGAGGAACATATTTTATGTTGTATACATTTAACTCTCAGCGTTAGGGTTACTTTACTTTACATGTCACTTGTTTGACGCTTTTACCCAAAGCGACTTGCATGGCTCCACATTGACACACATTCAAATGCTCCTACGTGCAGGCTACATGTAGTTTTTAGTGATGTTAACAGGCTAATATAATAATGTAATACTGTGGGAAGGGCCATTTTGATACTTTAAGTACATTTTGATGCCAATACTTCAGTAAGTTTGCACTTTACCTCTGCTCATAAGTAGGCCTATGCTACATCTTCTAATCTAGGCAACAGTGTAGGGTGTAGCCAGAGAGTTAACCAAAGTTCTGGGGAAAGCTCGGAGAAAAAAGGCGGATCAAAACAAACCAAATCCTGGTCCTCCTCCTCTTCCTCTTCCTCTTCCTCTTCCTCCTCCCTCACTTCTTCCTCCTACTCCCGGAATGTAGTGTGTATTTATTTAATCTCGACACCCTAAAGGCAGCAGAAGAAATAAAAACGTTCCCCTCCTTCCAGAGTTGTTTACGCAAGGCGGAGCGATGTCAGCGGTTTGCCCGAAGAAGAGCGTCTTTTCTCGGCTACTTTTCCTCCTCTTCCTCCAGGACTCCTGCTGCTCGGCACTTGAACTCGTGCTCCTGCACACCAACGACGTGCACGCGCGGGTGGAGGAGACCAGCGTGCACTCGGGCGCGTGCGGCAGCGAGAGCAGTGGGTGTTTCGCCGGGGTCGCGCGCAGAGCCACGGAGGTCGCGCGGGTCCGGGGCACGGAGCGGCACGTGCTGCTTCTGGACGCAGGAGATCAGTTCCAGGGGACGGTTTGGTTCAATCACTACAAGGGGGCGGAGGCGGCGCACTTCATGAACAAACTGAAGTACGATGCTATGGTGAGACACACACACACACACACACACACACACACACACACACACACACACACACACACAACACACACACACACACACACACACACACACACACACACACACACACACACACACACACACACACACACACACACCTGTTATTAGACATTGGTGGAAAGTAAACTAAGTAAGTCTGCAGTGGTGGAAGAAGTACTCAGATCTTGTACTTCAGTAAAAGTAGAAGTACTCAGATCTTGTACTTCAGTAAAAGTAGAACGCAGGGCCGCCCCTTGCTAACTTGGGGCCCCAAGCGACATTGTGAGATGAGCCCCCCCCCCCAACTGACAGGAGTGAAACAATTTTGCAAATATAATTCCTGTTTATTATTATTATCAACAGTTACTTTTTTATACAGTGAGGTAAATGGTAAATGTGAGAGGCTGAGAGTCACCATGATGATGACTGTTAGGAGTTAAGGGGAGAGGCTGAGCGTCACCATGATGATGACTGTTAGGAGTTAAGCGGAGAGGCTGAGTCACCATGATGATGACTGTTAGGAGTTAAGGGGAGAGGCTGAGCGTCACCATTAAATGTGCAAATTGACATAAAAATGAATAAAAGGGGAAAAAATGCTCCATGTTTTTTAGGCTGTAAACTTTAACTGTTATGTAAGCCAACTAGACAGACAGTTTATCACTCTTCCTCCTGTATACATTAGCAGATAAAAGGCATAACATACTTGAATGAATGGTAAATAAAGAATGCTGGAAATAACTGCATCTCCATTAGCCTGTATGCTCTGCAGAGACTGCCTTCTTCATGTCGTGAATTGCAGCTGATGTTTTAATATGGCAATTGGCAATTTGACTTATACAACATTCACAACTTGTACATTTGACTCATACAATAACCCACCTTCGAGTGATGCTCTAGTTTCTTCATGTTTTGTTTTGTGCGCCGAACTGAAACTGTCTTTTCACCGACATCTCTTCACCTGCACTAGTGGCCGTATCAAAGCCGTGATTGGTCAGATGTCGATTCATTGCAACGGTGTCGGGTTACAGACATGCTCCCCTTGTCATCTCTCGGAGCATCCACACTACAGCTTCAAAAAAAGCTTGGAGCTGGGCGTGTCTGAAGCTTGGGGATTTTATTCGAGCAACGCGACCAACAACCAATCACATGAATCTCCCGCCCCCGACATACAAAGCAAAAAAAACCGGGGATTTTATGCGAGCAATATATATAAACTCCCCAAACAGGCGAAAACCTACCAGTTTCACCCACTGTCTCTGCCACCTCCCTCCATGACTGGTTCTTCCGGTTTGTATCCCGGTAGGTGAAGAGGGTGGTCATACAAAACCGGGTGATTTCAGGGTTTCCCACACATAGACTATACTTGGGCGGGCCGCCCAGGTATATTAACGGCCACCCAAGTATATTTCACGACCCATTTAGGTGTTTTGTTTTTTTTATAATTTTTTTTTAAAATAATTTTTTTTTGTATTCGTCCGTGACCACGACGCCATCTGCGATCGATTAACTTGTGGACAATGATCCCTCGCTCCCTTGCACTGATCTCGCCTCCTTCTGGCCTGTTAAGTGGCCTGCCTCACACAGGGTGACTGGCTGTCCACATGATGTGGCCTGCCGACATGACCACTGTCATACAGATCATAAATCAAAGCCCTTGATTGGTCTCTGTGTGTCATTCAAGCTCGGGATAAGCTCAGGTGAGGTAAAGGACTCTCTGAGGGTTTAGATAGTTAACTTAGTCTAAGTTCTCAGTGGGTCTCAAACGGTGTGGTCACCATTTATGTAAACTAGGGCTGTCAAACGATTACAATTTTTAATCAGATTAATCACAGTTTAAAAATTAATTAATCATGATTAATCACCATTAATCACTAATCACTATGTCCAAAATATGTCATTTATTTATGTATATTGTTGTGGGAATGGAAAGATAAATGAAAGAAGGCGGATATATCCATTTCACATAGCCTACAGTATCTATGTTTATTATAACATTTTTCTGCGTGTCAAAATGAAAGACAACCCACACACCTATCAATCATCAAACCGTGGGGTCTTAATTCATTACAGTGTTGATTTCTATCAACGGGGGAGTACTTCAGGAAAGTCGACAGAGGGGGGGGGCGGCTAGTGGAGTACTTCGTGACCACAGAGTGTGAACGTTGTGATAAGCTGTTTTAGCGCAGTTCTCCAGTGAAGGGGGGGAGTCTCCCTCCGCAGCCGGTTGGCGTAGTTTTGGCACAATTCCGTTGTACAGACCGACGTTAACAGCAGCCCTGTCTGTGCACACGGAGACCGACTCTGTCGTCCGGTGATCTAACCGCCTTCTGGAAAAGCTTCACAAGTACGTCGGTACGCAAATGCGCTTTGTGACACAAGTGACGGTACGCATTTCAGATTACGCACATAACCTGCGTACCAGTTATGTGCACCCCTGTACTACAGCAAAAGTATTCTCCGTCGGGACTTCCTGCAACAACACCACGCCGTTATCTTGATTCTGATTGGCCAGAAGACATTATCAAAGATGTTCTATTGAGAAGACGATCACTACGTGACAAAAGTTTTCAAAACCGTGGCTACTGAAATCAATCTTACTAACTGCTGTCTGTGCAATTTACTCCGCGCGAGTTGGCAGACTTTATTTTGCTTACTTTAACATCATTTTTCATGGTGGGGCTAAGCCATTTCTTGGTATGGGTGTAGCCTACCCCAGCCATACCCTGGCGCTGCCACTGGTGGCACGTATGGGGCGGGCCATTCTGCACATGCGTTAAATGCGTTAAATATTTTTAACGCAATTAATTAAAAAAAAAAATTTGACAGCACTAATGTAAACACATATTTCCATTTGAGAGGGTAGTGATTGGTCTAATGGATAGTGAGGTGAGCTGAAGATCGGAAGGCTGTGAGTTCAAATCCCGCCAGGAACACCACCACTAGTGTGCCCTTGAGTAAGGCACTTAGCCCTTAGTTACTCCAGGGAGAATGTCCCTGTAATCGGTCATTACAAGTCGCTTTGGATAAAAGCGTCAGCTAAATGAAATGTAATGTGATTAGTCAAATATGCATGAATAAATAAATAAAAAGTTAACTAGGTGAAAAAAGGTAAGATACACTTTTAAAACTTGTTGAGAGAAAACTAGTCTTTGCTGCTGCCTCAAAGAGGAGCAGGGGGGAGAGGAGGGAGACAGGAGAGGCTGATTCCAAAAATAAATTAATAAACAAGTTTCAGTGTTTTTTTCATATTGGAAATGGGATGTTATTGGTTATGGCCATGATTTTATGATTATTTAAATGTATACAGTTCTGTTTCATATAGGTGTTTCCATAGATCTAGTCTCTTTATGTTCCCCTCAAAATGCACCAGATTGATGCATTTAACTCCAAAATAAAAAATAAAATCTTACCGGGGGGGCATACCCCTGGACCCCCATAGAGGATTTGAGGTCGACCCCCACTAAAAATCACATGGATAGGTTCCTAAATACATTTATAAATACATTAATTTTTTTAAATAGTAACCCATTTCCATATGTTCATGTGTGGGTAGTAGATTTAAACTATAGGGCTATCATTATGGGCCCTGCCTGTACCTGTTCGCTCTGCCATCGCGTGAAGGGTCTGCTAACACCCCCCCCCCCCCGCTACCACCACCCCCCCAAGTATATTTCAGATCTGTGGGAAACAGATCTGTGGGAAACACTGGATTTGCTACGCCGATAATTAGTTTCTCCTCCATCTTTTTTTGAAATATAGAAATGAACGGCGGAATATCTCTCCCAGCTTAGACGCGGTTTGATTGGCTACGGCTTGAGCTGTCAGATTTTCAGAAACGGGATTTGATTGGCTGGCGCTGGCTACTCCGGCGTCTCCGGCGTCAGAAGTTGAACATTGTTCAACTTCTGACATGTTCAACTTCTGACGCCGGAGACGGACCGCTATGCTACCCACAATTCAGTTCGGCGAAAAGCGAGGCAACGTGACGTCACCCCATTCAAAGTGAATGGGCAGACGCGTTGGAAACCGTTTTTGAAGCTGTCGAAGCTGTAGTGTGGACGGGCCGTCACACTCTCGCGGGGGGTGCACGGAGAACTGAGCGGAGAACTGCGCAGTGCGCACAGCAGCTGAGGCCCTCTGGGCGGGGCCCCCTGCGCAAGGCGGGGCCCCATGCAGCCTGCGTTATTGGCCTGTAGGGGGGGGCGGCCCTGAGTAGAAGTACTCAGCATAGGCGGTGCGTGAGGCTCAGGTTTGGGAAGGCTAAATAACTTTTTTTACCTAACGCTGCCCGCCTCCGTCGTCTATAAAAAAGAGATCAACTCAGTGAAAGCACCGCCTGCTGACCAATCAGAGCTCAGTGTGCGGAGTTTACATCTATCAAGTCATATTACAGGATAAAGGAAATACAGTTTAAACTGCTGTATGTAGAGAAGACTTATCATTCATATCACACTGATATCACATCATCAATCAGATCATCGATCATATAATATCACAATATTTCCTTATCTGAGTCAGCTTCTCGAGCCGTAGCTATCTGGCCGTGCAACACTTACATTGTCACATATACTGTATGCAGACGTATTATTTTAAGCAACACATTAAGTTGACGAAACACTCAACTCAAATGTAATTAAAGTCAGATCCACTCGTGTCTTAGATGGGGCCGTGATATCATAAACCTGTTGTA